GGTTTGAAAGTTTGGACACAGGGGGTGCAAGCCCTGACAATTCAGGCAGAAGGTGGGGGCACGTGGAGGGGGTGGGGGGCAGGGCTCTATGTCCTGCAGCTTAGCCAAGCACCCTTTCCTACCCGAAGGGCTTGGAGCCTATCACAGCTCCTCCCAGACCTGGCAATGGGGGTGATGCTGCTACTTACCCGGCACATGAAGTCCAGCAGTGTGGCCGTGATGGCAGGATGGGGCTTCATGGAGTGGTGCATCACCAGGATGGCAGGCTCTAGAAGGCAGAGAGCGGGAGGCCCCATCACACACACGGCCCTAGAAGGGCAGGGCCAGGCCCAGGAGAAACCCCCTTTCCATCCCAGTGCATCCTGGCCTCCTACCCCAGGGAGAGCTGCTGCCCAAACCCATTCTCCCCCACCCCGTGACAGGCTCCACATAGCCAAACCGCCACTCAGCCACCACCTCCAACCCCCATACTAATGACTGAGCTGTTCACTGTGTGTGCCCCCCATACCGATGTTCATGATGCTGTCCTTCTCAGGGCTGAAGAAGAGCCAGTCATAGAACAGGGCGAGTTTGGCATTGGAAGCTGCGACGTTGGACTAGGAGAGGGTGAGAAGCCACATGAGTGCCCTGGCCGCACCCCTCCACCCCCCAGTTCTGCATCCGGCCACAGCCCGGCTTCAAAAGGGATAGGCCTGGGAGTGGGAACTCTTGGGTTTTGGTATCAGCTCCCAGGTGCCTGTCCTCTGGGCTATTATCACCAGCAGAGAGGCGCCTGACTGGATGACAGGACAGTCTGCCCCCCACCCATCCCTGCCTGTGGCCTGCCAACCCAGGGGACAGGTCTGCCTTCACTTGCGCAGGGCAGGCTGCTCCAGCAAGGTGAGAGGGCCATGGTACTGCAAGGGTGCTGGAAGGAGAGGCAGCAGCAGGCAGACACTACACCGCCTCTTCGCAGGCAGGGCCCATGAGTGCCAGCTGACAAAGATGGGCTGTTTGCAGCAGGGAGGACTGGAGTTAACGAGCCACAGCTCCCGTGGCCTGGCTCCACTCACTGTGCAGGTGGTGAGCAGCCAGCCGATGATGGCCCAGCGTGGCAGAATGTCAGAGCTGAGCACCTCGTTGGATGGGTGGACTACGCCACAGATGTAGCGGATGAGGTCGCAGCGCAGCGACTGGCTGTCTGGGGTGGACAGGTACTGCCGCTGGAACCAGTCCTGGTACCGCTTCTGCTGCCCGAACCGCACCTGCAGGGGAAGGAAGGAAGTGCTGCTGTGTCACTGGAGCATGCATCTCTGACTGGAAGCCCCAGTACCCAGCTTCGCTGGGCCTGCTCCTCTCCAGCTGTGCTGCAGCCAGGAAGATCACACAAGGCCGCTCTCCCTGGGGGCCTGGGTCCCATCCCCCTGCAGCTGGGGGTCCTCCTTACCCGGGAGGTCATGAAGAGCAACTTGGTCTCCATGTCAGGGGTGAGCCGACAGGCCAGGAACTTGCGAGATGTCCTCGACTGCAGGAGCTGCAGGACGCCTGGGGAAGGGAGAACTGAGGTCTGTGCTTGCCTGGCCCCACGGTGCGGCGTGGACTGTCACTGGAGGGAGAAGCCACCCCTCGCCAGGGAGCCCCAGGGCAGTGCTTCACCTGCCTGTGGGCAGCGGCATGCACCATACTGCTCAGTCATTTGTCTTTCCCAAGAATGGATCATGGTTAAAGTGACCCTCATGCCATATCTTGCTGCTGAGTTGTAGCTTTGCAGCTAGTTGAAGCCAAGGTTAAAACTGTCAGAGCCTGGACTCACGCTAAGCAGCGGAGTTAAAAACCCAGGCCCAAAGGCTTCTGGGCTCCCTATTGGAGCCCAGGCAGGCCAAAGGGCAGAGACCGACCGAGCCAAGTGAAATGCCTCCCCTAGGGCAGACAAGAGACCCTGTCCCACCAGGCTCTGGCTGATTGGGTCCTCTGGGCACAGCACAGTGCATCTAGGTTTCACAGTTGGTAGGGTCAGAAGGGACCTGAGCAGATCATCAAGTCCAACCCCCTGCCATGGCAGAAAAGAATGCTGGGGTCAAACTGGTGGCAGTCTAGCCTCCTTTTGAAGACCCCCAGGGTAGGAGCAAGCACCACTTCCCTTGGAAGTTGGTTCCAGATCCTAGCCACCCTGACTGTGAAGTAGCACCTCCTGATATCTAGCCTGAATCTACTCTCCATCAACTTACGGACATTATTCCTTGTTACTCCCGGTAGTGCTGAGGGGAACAGGGACTCTCCTATTGCCTGCTGGTCCCCCTTGGCCAGTTTATAGATGGCCACCAGATCCCCTCTCAGCCTTCTCTTGTGGAGGCTGAACAGGTTCAGGTCTCGTAGCCTCTCCTCGTAGGGCCTGCCCTGCTGCCCCCGATCATGCAAGTGGCCCTCCTCCGGACCCTCTCAATGCTGGCCTCATCCCTCCTGAAGTGCAGCACCCAGAACTGGATGCAGTACTCCAACTGTGGCCTGACCAATGTCGCACAGAGGAGGAGGATCACCTCCTTGGACCTGCTTGTGATGCATCTATGGATGCATGACAAGGTGCAGTTAGCCTTCCTGACTGCGTCCCCACATTGGCAGTCCATGTTCATCTTGGAATCAATAATGACGTCAAGATCCTTTTCTGCCTCTGCACTGACGAGAAGGGAGTTCCTCAGCCTGTAGGTATGCTGCTGGTTCTTCCTCCCCAGGTGCAGTACCTTGCACTTGTCAGTATTGAAACCCATCCTGTTCCCATCCACCCACCCCTGTAACCTATCCAGATCTGGTTGTAGCCTGTCCCTCTCCTCTACCGTGTCCAGGTGAACCTGGGGAGAAAGGAAACCCCAGGCCTGGCCCCACCATGCATGGGGACAGCATTGGGAGTTACACCGCTCCTGATGGGCTAGGCAGGGCTGGAAGCCCCAGAGCCCCCAGCCCACCCTCTCCCATGGGAAAGCAGCTGATCAGCTACCAGCTTCTGCAGGGGCTGTGGACGGCAGGGGAGGGGCTGTCCACGGGCCATGCAGGTTAATTCTTCATTATGAGACCAATATCCAAGCCTGCCTCAGTGCAAACAAAGGGCTCGAGGAAGCATTAACCCAGAGCCCAAGAGAAGATGTTGGGGCAGCACTTTTAAGCTCTGCTCTGGAAAGCTTGTTAGCAGATGGATAATGAGGTGCCGGCCTCCAAAGCAGTGAATAATTGATACAGATTTAAAATCCCAGGGGATTGCATGCAAGGCTCTCTGCCAGGGCTGTTTCATGCCAGCCTGTACAGGGCTTGGGCACAGCGTGTTCCCGCTGTGCGGTTTCAGGGAGTGGGGAATCTGCACAGGGAGGTTTTGACAGGAGCCCCTGGCCCCGGTGTACTCCGCTTAAGAGTGCTCTGTTGGGGCAGCTGGAGGGCTCCGGCCTGTCCAGCACCGGGGCCTCACTCTAGCATCAGCTTTCAGCTCAAGCCATTACAACAAAGGGAGTCTTAAGTCTGGGTCCTACATGCAGGAGATGTGGGCCGGGCTGGTACCAAGAGCAGTGCTCTGCTGAGGAGCGGAGTATGAGGGCCTCATGACATGAGAGGCCGTGCAGGCCCAGCCTCCTTCAGGAGCCTTGCCAGGCCTCAGTCTGGGCAGAGGGCTCCTTTCTGCATGGCCAAGGCCAAAGGTCAGCCCTACCAGCAGCTGGGCCTGCAATCGGCTTGTTGAGACATGCGAACAGGGAAACAGTCTCCTCCAGGGCATCCCAGGTGCTGTACCTCCTACCCAGCTTCGTGCTGCAGCCTGGCATGCATCGGAGACCCCTCTGCATTCAGAGCACCCCGCCTGAGCCAGGGGAACAAGCTCTTGTTCCCAACCTCATGGTGCTACCGCCCAGCTGCTCTACAGGGCAGGCTGGGGTGGGGGTGCGCACAGTCCTTGGCCCCAGGGCAAGCCCTAGACGGTGGGCTTTGGTCTGCAGGTCATGTCCGGTACTAGCCCTGCAAGAAAGCACCCTGTCCTGCTCCCTGAGCAGGGCAGGGGGGAGCGGGGAACGGGACTCCCAAGCCAGGCCTCGCCTTGCCTACCTGTGAACTGGGCACTCAGGGCCTGCGGGTTGTGGACGATGTCCTTCCAGAGCTGCTCGAACTCCGGTATCCTAGCAACATTCTGCAAGAGCCTCACCAGGTCCCGGCCAATCATGAAGCAGTCCATGAACTTGGGGGGGAGAGAAGCGAGCGCACTGTTCACCTGCTACAGGGTTGTGGGGGGAGGAATGGGGGATGCGGGTGGGGCGAAGGGGGGGAGAACATCCCGTTCCCAAGTGCGGAGGCAGCTCCGGATGATTCAGTCCTTGCCCGGCGGCCCCCTGCCCCAGGCGTAGCCACTCTGTTTGAAGGTGGCGGTGGCAGAGGGGGGAGCTGCTGTCAGGGGGATGGGGGAGGAAGGCCAGTGGCTATTTTAAAACGGCCTCCACTACAGAGCAAACAACCGGGCATGGAGCTGCCGTTTTATCTCCGAAGCGCTGCACTTGACATCTGCTCTTTCAGGAGGGGAGGGGAAGTGGCACTCAGCTGGGGGGTTGCTCAAGGGCTGGCCCCCTCCCTGCTGCAGAGAGTGGCTAGTGCCCGTGCAACCAAGACAAGCCAGTAGCACTGCAGGAATGTGCTGGGGTCACTGCCTTCTTGGGACCTCTCCATGGGGCAGGGACGGGGGTGGCAGGAGATGCCCCCTGTCCCCACGCTCTTTCTGCACCTTCTTGCAAGGGCGCTTGTCATGAGCATCCTGCAGGGTTTGGTACTGGCTGATTGGGAACATCTGGGCCCTGGGATGGGGTGAGACGGGCAGGGAGGAGGGGGGGAAATTTCCACCCCCTCTGCCCACAGCCTGGATGTTGGGAACAGGCCCTAAAGGAGCCCGTAGGAGCATGCAGTCCAGCTGCCACCTGGCTCTCCCTGCCCCGCATACCCATGCACCATGGGCTTGGAGATCCTTGAGAACCTGGCCATCTCACTCCCTGGGGTCCGTGCTCCTGGCCATAGTGGGAGGAACACATGTCAGTGCGAGTTGTGTCAGAAATGGAGCAATCCCCAGCCCTGTCCCATATTCCTCACCCGTTCCCGGAGCAGGGTGATGCAGAAGTCCACCTCCTTCTGGCGCAGGGCCAGGAGCTGTGGGGTGCCATGATGGTCCACAATGAGTCGCAGGTAAGTGTACACTGCCATGGCGATCAGGATGCTACTCTTGAGCACCCACTCTCTGTGGGGAAGAGGGGACACTGCCATCAGCTGCTACTGCAGCAGGAGCCCAGGCCCTTTGGCCATCTATGCACGCGGTACTCAGCCCTGAGGGGCAACGGCAGGAACAGGACCATGAAGGTCCCGACTCCCAGCCCTGCCCTGCATGTCCTGCCGGCTGCCCCCAGACCTGGGATTGCTGGAGTCAGTCATTGCTTCCAGCCTCAAGCCCACTCCCACCGGGCTGGAGGCCTCGTGACCCTGGCTTCTCCTCCATCCCAACCTGGAAGAGGCTCATGGTGGGGTCGGCCCTGCTCTGTGAGAGGAGGCACATGCCATGTGTCTTGGCCAAGTATCACCATGGTCAGGGGTATCAGTATTGGCTCCCTGTGTCGCCGGGCTCTGCACAGCGTCCTGGTGCTGCACTGTACCAGGGGGTCAAAGCCAACACCTCTGTGGACAACTGGCTTCCCATAGGCGCCTGACAGGCCCTGTCCAGCCCCTCTATCACCAGCTGCTGCCTGGCTCTTTGTGCCTGGTTTCCAAGCCATGTAGGGCAGGAAGGGGATGGGTGCGAGACGTGTGGATGCAGGGGGCTGCTCTGTGATCAGCTCGTGGGGGCAGGGACCCACTTGGGGAGGCCGTGTGTGCCCAGAAACAAGAAGCAGCTGCTGCTGTGCAGCCCCGATGCCATCACCCGTGAGATCCCGCTACTTCAAGTGCATCACAAGCCAGAAATCACCAGGCACAGTGACGGCTGGAGGAGGGTGAGCTGAGCCAGAAGCTCCAGCCAGGTACCAGGCTGAACCCCGCTCTCTCAGCAAAGAGGGGCCTTCACTCCTAGGCACAACAGGGCCTGTTAGAGCTGATTAGCAGCGAGTTGCATGGTAATAAGCACTTCCAGCGCTTGAACTGCTGCTCCAGCGGGCTCAGCTCAGTGCTGCCACAGCTCTGGGATGAGCAAGTGCTGGAGGTGGCAGTGGGGCAGCCATACTCACACCCTTATCTGCAACCAGTACACCGGGAGCAGAGCCATGGCAGCTGCCCAGCCCAGCGCCCCTACCCACCCCAGCCTGGAGGCAGGGAAGGTGATAGGCTATGGGTGCAGCCTGCCCCAGGGGTCTGCTCCTCCCCAGCGGGGTCTGGGCTTGCAGTAGGGAGCAGCCAAGATGCTCCGAGTCCATGACCTCACAAATCCACATCCATCCATTTCTGGTGGAAGGGTATAGAAACAGGCCATGCGCCAGGCTGGCAGTTGACTGGGCTTTACTTCCCGCTTCACCAGCTGGGTTAACTAAACCCCCTCCTCGCACATACCTGGGCCCCTCCCAGGTGCTAAATCCCAAGCCTTCCCCACTCTCTCAAACAGCAGCTCCTCCAAGATCAAGGGCCACTGGGACACTTCCCTGCTGCTGCCCTGCACCAGGCTGCCCCAAACATGGGGAACCAGCTCCATTAATCGCAGCCCTGTGGCACTGCTGGCCTAAAACCGTCCCCCAACACAGCCATGTGCTGGGAACGGGAAGGAACAGCTCGGCACCTTTGGCACAATGGATGATCCTGGCTGGGCCAGGGCAAGGCAGACACGCCCCCCGGGGAGATAACATCCCCATGGTGAGCGAGTCACCTGTCCTGAGTCACCTGTCCTAAATCACGAGGGCGCTGGGATGCTACGACAAGTATTTGCTTTCCCAGGCACTCGGTACCACACCTCACATATGCAAGCGTGGAGCTTAATTAGCCGCTGGGACACATGGGGGCTGGACGTGGGAATGACAAAGGAGTGGAGCCCAGGGGAGGGCAGGTCAGCTGCAGCAATGACAGTGCTGTCAAACGGGGCCACGGGGAACAGCCCAGGGCCAGGGGATGCGTCCATGCAACAGGCCAAGCAAATAGAGGCCCCACGGGGCAGCTGTACGCTGGCTCAGCCCTCGGCGGCCATTCCCTGCAGCTTGCGGAGGCTGCGGCACTTAGCTTTGCTCTACTGGTTTTAATTAAGCCAAGACACTGACACCCCCCTGTGACACCAGGCCTCACGCCTGCTTCTCCATGAAAACCTTCCTGTCCCTGCCATCCGAGGGCACTGGGCTCCGCAGGTTCCCTCCCTCTGGCCCAGCCCAGCTCACCCCATGCCCCAACACCTCCCAACCCACTGCAGCCTGGCACCAGCATTCTGCTGTGGGCCAAGCCTCCCCCTTGCATGTTTCCCTGCCAAAGCTCTGCTGCCGGAGCTGTGATTTAGTGCACTGGGTGGGCCCCTGTGGTGCTGGGGCTGGTGTGGACTTGGACTGCGAGGAAGGGAGATGCTGTTCTCTGCAGCAGAGTGCTCCCTGGTTATTTGTTTGCAGGATAAAACCATAAGAGGTTTTGGCAAGATGAGCCTCTGCTTCAGCAGCAGAGTCTAGGGGAGCTACTCTGGGTGCTGCCAGGGCTCAGGTAGGGAGTGCCCAGGTTGGGCTTGGGGCAGGGAGCAGCCAGGGGTAGCAAGAACAGTGCTGGGGGGTAGCGGGCGGTGAGGTGAACGCCTAGTGGGGAGCTCTGTGGCATCCCCAGCGTGTGCGCTAGATGGCGCCACTGGGACCACACAGCCCTGCTAGGGAAGAGCAGAGCCATTAATGGGGCGTCACTGTTAACTACTGCTAACCACCGCGGCCAGCACCACCATAGGACACCTGCCATCATGCGCACAATGCCACTGCCTAGCCGACACCACACAGCTTGTTCACAGCTGACTAGCTGCTGCGTTACCAGCAAAGCACAACATGGACAATGCTCTCAGGTCGCCTGCCACGGCACAGGAGAGCTGGCCCTGCTGAGGCCAGCCCTGCGTAGGACGCTGACAGCCTGCAGCTTGGGCAGGGAAAGGAATCTCCCCTGCCAGGGGGGAGGGTCCCTAATGTCCTGTGGGTGGCTGGAGATGACCCAGCCTCATGGTTTCAGGGTGAGCAGTTGCCTGCAGAGGAAGCAGCCATATCAAGGCTTGCACTACTGGCCTGGAGCGCCGTGGCCACGGGTAGCTGCATGGGATGGTCCCAGCTGGCTGGGTCAGCAGCCTTGCCAGAAGCGCTGCTCCTGGGTCTCACAAGGCAAGCCCTGCAGGGTGCTGGCTGGGTCTCAATGGGATGCTCAAGCTGGTAGTAACAAACCTCCGCAGCATGCAGGGAATCCATCAGCGCACCCCTGCCCACCCTGTCAAAGTGTAGAGACCCCAGATCTACCCTGCTCTGTGCTCAGGAAGGGAAAGCTTCCCCAGCCTCGCCAAGGGGCACAGACCTGGCACTCCCCAGCCCTGCCCACCCCAGCTGGCTGTCACTGCACTCGTACCTCTGCTCCGTCAGGATGTCAAGGACGTTGTCTGCCAGCCAGATATTCTTTGCCGTCACGTCCCCGCCTGAGACCACGACAATGGACACGCAACACAGGAGAGAAAAGTTAGATTAATCAATGCGATGTTCTCTGCGGTCGGCATTATTTGAGCCATTGCCTAGCTAGACCGCCAGGCCCCGGCAAGGCAGAGGCTGTAATTAAAGTCCTGCACTCTCTGCCTGGTCTCATGCCACCTGCCACAGACGCCTGGCTGCTCCCAAGCATGTGTTCAGCATGTTCCCAGACAAGTGCGACAGATGCTGTCGCTTCCTGGTGCGTGAAAAGAAATCAAGAGGGTTTCTGGTCACAGTACAGGGGACTGTCACAATGCCGATACCCCTGCCAAAAGGAAATGAGCTAGAGGGGGTCGAAGCTTTGTACCTAGGGTGAAGGCAGCCAAAGACCCAGAGCTCTAGAAAGGGACTGGGCCAGGAAAGTCCCTGGATCTGGGAACAGCATGGCACCACAGCCTTGGTTGCATTTCCAATGTGCCACATGCCCCT